GTGGATGGGGGGAGGGGGGTTGTTACTTTGTGAGGGTGAAAAGGGTAACTATTGCATTGTTCTGTACACCTGAAACTAACAATAAAAAAAAAAAACTATAGCTTCGAAACCTACTTTGTTAGTGTAAGAAATGGAAAATTGTGTGGTACATAGAGCTGCCCTTGATTCTACGTACTACAGATATTAAAAGGTGAGAGGTTAATGATGCCAATAAGTACATTTTCTTCAAACTAGCTTCCTAGCTTATTTTACACATAAAACCAATTTGTAAAACTGTCAAAAATTTTTGAAATTCTTGAAATTTTCATGCTAAGGAAAATACAACTTTCAAAACCTCTAAATGAGCTAAAAATATCCTTCTGATTTATAGTGAAATATGTCAAATCACAAATGGGTGGAAAGACATTAAGTATCGACATCCATTTAAAAATAAAAAACTCTTAACTTTATTCCTGTCAGCACCTTCAAGCCAATCTTTCTTTAACATAAAACTGCCATTACAGGAAATATTTTCAAGGTAAGAGTTATACTTAAAAAGACCATTTCCTGGCCTGCATACTGCCCAGTATTATAATAGATGTAAGAGGACAATGAATATTTGTGTGTTTCCCATGTGAGAAATGTACAAATGGTGTATTATAATGGAGTAATTACAAAAACTAAGTAGATATCTTTTTCCACAATTATTTAACAAAGGGTATGTCATGCATAATGAAGCACATAAGTTTGTAAAAAGTATTTCATGCAAGGACTATTTTCCAATTATTTTCTTAAGGCTACAAAAAATTTTCAGGTAAAACAGAATTATAACAAGACTGTAATGTTAAAACTATCTGCACAAGCTTGCTACATCAGAGCTAATCTTGAGATCTACACTTTCTATTTTTATATATCTACTCAGGTGATTACTATCTGGCTTTGAATTAGTCCAATTAATGTAAAAAGTAAATTTTAATGAAGCAGCTCTTTTTCTGAGGAAGGATTATTTCCTCCTCCTATTTTACAACAAAGAATTGTGAACTTCTAAATAATCATATAATACTACACAGCTTCAAATGAATGGTCAAGAAAATTAGTGCATATATTTTTAAAAAATTATAATGTCAACTTAAGGAGAAAGGGTAACAAGAAATGGATTTTATAACAATGGTGGAAAAATATTACAATCAACTATTTCTGACCAATGATTAGAGCAACATGTAGGAAGCACTTAAATCTGAAAGATCATATACACTAAGTTATGCAGACGTCACATTTTCAGTTAATGATTTTATGCCTCAAGATAGTAAATAAAAGATGGTATAAAAATGTTTATATATTCTATGGCCATAGGTACTTTTGAAAACCTAATGTTACACATGTTTTTAGGTACGTAAACCACTGGCTAAAAATGTTACCTACTCAATGCCTACAAATTATATTGCTCCCAGTGGAAAAAAAAAAATCTTTTGGCATCTAAAAATTTTACCTCTCAAGAAGCCAGGTATTAACGGAAGATCATTCAGTTACTCTCCTAGTCTACGGATCAGGGATAGTTTACTTATTACCTTACTGCTCATACTAACTTCCTACTAATGAACTAATTTCTCTACCCGGCCTGCTTGCTACTTTCACCGAAAAAGCTCAGATTCTTTTCTTTTCTTTTTTGGTGGGAGGGGAAACAGACACTATAGAGTAAAAAATCTGAATAAAAGTACCTATCATATGCAGGAAAGTCAGTCAAAATGGATTTTAAAAAAGCACCTCAACTTCTGAGAACAAGGAGAGAGAAACACAATACTTTGCACTATAATTCTTATTCCCTATATTTGGGGGGGTGAGATTTCTGGATAATGAAACATGTTGGTTGATTAAAACTATCACTTTACATCAGATACAGCTGTACAAATATTTAGAATGCGCTGAAACATGCTTTAACAAAGCTTGCTGGACCAGAATCTTTCTCTGATGATCCAGAAGGCCTCTGAGGGTTGTGTGTCTTGTGGGCAGGGTTTTCAATCAGTGAATCCTGGAGAAGCCTCTCAAGTTATGCACTTACAGCTTCAAGGTAAAAGGGACCGACTAAGTGCGGGGTTGAGGACTTTGCCTGCCTCCTCTACCTAAAGCCACTCCATCTGTAGTTGTTTTATGTATTTGTATTTACATGTAATATTTGAAAAAAGAATTCTGCACCGGCCGAGTGGCGCGTTGGGTTAAGAGCTGGCTTGGGACGCCACAGGGCCCCGGTTCGGATCCCACATATGAGGGCCAGTGACACTGCCCTCTACAGCTAAGATGCTGAACAACAGCTCAACCTGGAGCTGGGCTGCCTTGAGTCGCCAGCGAGGGCTGCAGCCCCTGCTGCAGTGGGTTGCCATGGGCTACCGTGTGTAGCCAGCAACCAGCGTGAGTGGCCAGCAGCCGCTGTGAGCGGCCGTCCAGAAGCCGGCGACTGATCTGCCTCACCCGGGAAGAGCGCAATGAAGGTGCCAACTTGGGCCAGTGAAGTGACATCCTCCACAACTAGACTGAAGAACAAAAGGACAGCAACTTGTCTGTTCCCCTTCCCCCAACTCCCCAGCACTGTTCACATCCCCCAATTCTCCAATTTAAAAAAAAAAACAGTAGAAAAAAGAATTCTATTGGTAAAAAAAAAAAATTTGAAAATCAAGTCCTGAGGAAAGAAGTGATCATTAAACTAGATACAATTAGCTATAAACTTCCAGCAATACTAGTTTATAGCTATTATTTAAAATAGCACAGGGCCGGCTGAGTGGCTCAGTTGGTTAAGAGCTCGCTCAAGAGTTTGAGCTCTGAGCAACAGTGGTTCGAGTCAGCCCGAGCTGAGCAGCCGTGAGCTGCCAACAGGTGGCGGGATGGCTCAGCTAAAATAAAATAAAATAAAATAAAATAGCACAAAAACAGCTTTTAATTTAGTAATACTTAGAACATTATGCTCAAAGCCTAAACCGAAAGCTGAAATTAAACGGAAAATAACAGTCAGTACCTTAAAAGGTTTTGTAAAGTCTGTGTTTTCATGGTTTTCCCTAACTCCAAATACTTCGCGAGTAATGTCTTTTCTCTGCATAATATGATTCTGCATGAAAAAAGAATTACCATAGTTTAATGTACCTTAAAGTTTACTTTTAAAACTCTTATTTTACCATTAAAAATACATTTTAAATGAATAGGATTAAGTACACAAAACATGTAGCATGTAGCTTAGCTGTAGGAATACACATCTCCTTCACATAACCCATGCTAGCTTGTGAGGGGCCAGTTTAATTTGTGAACGTGAGAAGAGTTAAAAAAAATTCCTGTATAACGCAAAGGGTGACTTTTAGAAAATGGACTATAAATCTAGTATTATTCAGGCATCCAGAAGAGAAGCAAGCCCATTATTATCAGGAGTTGCTAGAGCTCCTACTGCCAAAGAAGAAAACAAATTCTCAACGCTGCAGGAGGCAGGTTTTGCTGACTCAGATAAGTGATTTGAGTAGATGCTTCTGCCATGACTAGGAAAGTATCAGAAGTCAGAGTACTAAGACTGGAGCTACAAAAAACCTGAATCCTTTGATGGGCAAGGAAAACATGGGGCTCATTCTGAAAGATGGTTTCTTTTTTCCAAAATAAAAGTCTTAGAATGTTCTATTTATTGCATTTGCTATGCAGTCTGTATTTCTCACAAATCTTTCTCTTTCACATCTTTACCTCTGTCTCCCTTTTCATAGTCATCTTCAATGTATGCTAAGTCTATAAATTTGAATAAGCACATAAAGATACATGTATTGAGATGGGACTTTGGGGGACCCTGGGAGGGAGGAGCCATATTTTGCATGTAAATCATTGGAGGCCAGTGGGAGGACTCCAGCAGGCAGCTTCTGACCAGGCTCCCAATCATCCCCACCTTCTAGTATCCAGGCCCCCGTGTCACTCCCTTCCTCTGAGTGTGGGCTGGACCTAGTGACTTGCTTCTTACAAATAGAGAGTATGGTAGAGGTGATGGGATGTCACTTCTGAGATTAGGTTACAAACACACCCTGGCTTCTATATTTCTAGCCATCACTTGCTTGCTGTTATGGAAGCCAGCTGCCATTTGTGAACTGCCCTATGAAAAGCAAATCTTTAAAAACAGAAAGTAGATTAGTGGTTAGCAGGCATGAAGGCTTTTATTGGGGTCATGAAAAGGTTCTAAAACTAGATTATGGTAATGGTTACACATCTTGATAAATTTACAAACAACCATTAAATTGTACACCTTGTACAGGTGAATTTATGGTAAGTAAATATTACCTTAATAAAGTTGTTCCGAAATAATCTTAAGTAAAGAAAGCTAGTACTATAATAAATGCAATAAAATCCTGCTAAATCAAATAAGAGATGACCATTTCTTCTGTCTTAACTATTGTCTCAACAGAATCTTAACGTTGAACAAAAGAATTATAACACATACTTACTGAACAGTTACAAACATTATGAAAAATATTGGTGATCCCTGTACACATAGATATTTGAGAATAGAATGTACAAAAATGAAAAATTTTGAACGACAGTCTTACCATGTGACATTTCTGAATAAATTTTCTAGGATTTGACTTTATAAAACATGGAGGTTTTTCGAATCCATCAATATCAATATCCTTCAAACTTGAAAAACTGGAAGACTGGTCATTGCTAACAAAGTGAGAGAGAGAAAATAAGAACCTTTTATTAGTTTACCTTTATCCAACAAATAAACAAGAGAAATGAAATTACCCCCTTCCAAGACAATTAAAGCAGCACAACAGTAAAAATAATCTCAATGATCTATCACTACCAAAATTCCAAATGATAGTTATGAGGGTGAAAACTCATTTTTAAACAAACATTATTTAGCTAAGTTGGAGGTTAGCAATAGGGAAAAAACAATATTCCTTGGACCAGGGCTCTCAATCTGGGGTCCAAGGACAGGCGTCCTAAGGGCTGTAACCCCTCGAAACCATACAGAGTGTGTGTTTCCTGAGGGTAGATGATCACTGCTCTCAAGCCTTTGGCAACACTGGATGCCCCTTGCTGACAGAGAAGAAGTGTGTGATGGGCTCAAGGTACTCTCACTGACAGAGCTGGGGCCTCTGACACTGCTAGGTCGCAGCAACAAAGGACAGCTCCCCTGTACTGTTGTCGCTAGATCCAGAGGCCACCAAGGGCTCTTCCCAGGCAGCCCTACCTAGGAGGGAGGTCCTTCCTTGGGCTTTTCTTCTGACCCTAGGGCCTCATTTCCACAGCCCTCAGGGAGTCTTCTTCCTGTCACATCCCAAATCTCCCCCAATGTTCCTCAGACCCTTCCTGCTCCATGGTGAACAGACATCTCATGGCCTCGGCCCTGCTTTGGTCCCTCCCACAGGTCGTTCACTGACATGGGGAGAAAACCCACACTGCTCATCATGTCCCCCAAACCCCTCCTGCTCTGTCCCTCACTGCCTTGCCTGGCTGCTTCAGTCCAATCTCCCCAACATGCACACTGAGCTTCGGGAACACTTAGCTACGGATTGTTCTCAGCACACACCACAATCTCTCCTGCTTCCACACGTCTGCATGTGCAATTCCTTCTGTTGCAATTTCCTTCCAACTTAGAGCAACTACAACATTCAGCTCCATTTGCACCTGTTCCAGGCAGGCTTTCCCAGACCCCTTTGAGGTGGGCTAGGTACCCCTGCTACGTGCACTCACACAGCACTTTTCTAACTGCTAGAGCACCTATCTGTCTCACTTAGCAGCTGATCCCTTCAGAGGGGGCACTGTGGATGGTTTGTTTTGTGGCCCTAGCTCTGACCCCACAACCTGACATGAAATACCCACTCAGAGTTTTTTGAAATGTTAAAAATACCCCATTTCCATCAAAATGCTCATGATATGATAGTAAGTTTAAATGTAAGGGTGGAATTCGGTAAGTCAATAACGTAATTAGGCTTAGATGGTTTACAGTTTGACTCACCACATAGCTCGCTATCTAGCCACTTATAGTTACAACTTAGTTTGCAGTTTGATCCCCCCTGATATTCAGCTGTTTCCTCTTTGTTTCTCCCCTCACTGATTAACTGAAGAACTCTGTTTTGTTCCCTTTTTCAAGGCTACCCATACCTCATTAATCCATTTAATTAACAGAATCCTAACCTGGAAAGGGCAATTTCTTAATCCTCAGGAGCCCAGAAGCTGGAATACACATAAAGCCCCAGGCAGGAGCCCAGAGATAACGTTATCTTACAACAGACCAGCCCCCAGGAGGGATGTCAGCCTTCAGAGCTGCCTGACCAACTCCCCCTTTCCTTTGTTCTGCTGCTGCTTATGTTCCTGTAAAACCTTCTGACCGGGTCTAGCTAGAACCGGGGAGGTGGCCTTTGGACAGGAGTCCCCATCCTCCCAGAATGCCGGCATTCTGAAAAAACCTGCTTTTCTTGCCACCAACCATGTCTCTTGATTTTTAACATTTCCAAGAGGCAGGCAGCCGGACCTTAGCACCGTATCATAAAGATTAGGGTGCAAAGCTATACCATGAGGATAATTTCAATTATTTAAAATATACACTTATATGTCCAGAAAAAATATAGGAAATGTACTAAATATTAACAGTGGTCATCTCTGACTGGTGAAATTAAGATGCCTTATATTTCATTATTAAACGTCCTCTCTGTAGTACTTTTCACCTATCACTCACCAACATTTACTTGTTTTTTTTTTCTTTCTCCTATCATTAAATTGTAAGCTCCATGAGGACAAGGGCTTTGTGTATAGTTTTTCACTGTATGCCCAGTGCTTCCAACAGTGACTAGAGCACAGAAATGAAATATATAAATATTTGTTGAATATATGAATAAAACATCTTTATAAAGTTAACTCTAATTAAGTATAGATTATAGATTGCTACAATAGCAAATATAAAAACTGATGTTTTCGGGCCGGCCGAGTGGCACGATGGTTTAAGAACTGGCTTGGGACGCCAGAGGGCCCGGTTCGGATCCCACATGTGAGGGCCTGTGATGCTGCCCTCCGCAGCTAAGATGCTGAACAGAGGCTCGACCTGGAGCTGGGCTGCCCTGAGTCGCCTGCGATGGCGTAGGCTGCAGCCCCTGCTGCAGTGGGTTGCCATGGGCTACGGTGTGTAGCCAGCAGCCAGCGTGAGCAGCCAGCAGCCGCAGTGAGCGGCCGTCCAGAAGCCGGTGACGGATCTGCCTCACCCGGGAAGAGCGCAATGATGGTGCCAACTTGGGCCAGAGAAGCAACGTCCTCCATAACTAGACTGAAGAACAAAACGACAGCAACTTGTCTGTTCCCCTTCCCCCAATTCCCCAGCACTGTTCCCATCCCCCCAATTCCCCAATAAAAAAATCTTAAAAACAAAAACAAAAAAACCTGATGTTTTCAATAACCTGCCCAGCTAAAAAGAAAGTCTCGTCCATTTGATGTCCTCTCGCAGTCTACTGATACTATTTTGAAGCTGCTTTTTGACACACACACCGTGTCTATACAGCACAGCACCTCAAAACACTGTAGGGAACTTAATAACGCTAGTTACAAGAGGTAGAAATAGTGTGTCAGGAGAAGACATGGAGACAGGAGGGTAAGAGATTAGTGAGAAGTGGGAGAAAAATACATAACCAGGGTCTGGAGACGAGACAGAATGTCCCAGCGTTAGGCCTGCTTGGGCGAGATTACCTAAGTCATCAGGGACTACATATATAGTGATCCAGCTCTAAATGCACTACAATTTCAGTAGCCTCCGTCCTGTCTACTCCTTTGGAAGACTTCATTCATTCAACAGCTATGAACTGAGTTCAAGCAGAGGGGATGCGATACAAGGGCGAGCAAATATATACAAAGAGCCTACATACAACTTTTTGAGGGGAAAAAAAAATCACACAGGTGGGAAATTGCTATACCCCATGATTTATGATTTCATCATATTTCATTTCTTCTGAACTTCTACGAAAATCTATGCACTGACTTGACTAAAAAAAAGTTTATGCAAAAATATTAATGAGGTCAATTTTGATAAGCTGGGTTTCTAAGATAAAAGGATAAAATAAAATGTTTTCTTATTTTAACAAGAAAATTAAATTAGAATGAAGTGAGCAATTAAAGGTTCTATATCATTTAAAAAAAAAAAAGATGAACAATCACAAATGCTGGTGAGGATGTGGAGAAACTAGAATCCCCACCCACTGCTGGTGGGAATGTAAAATGGTACAGCCGTTGTGGAAAACAGTCTGGCAGTTCATCAAAAAGTTAAGCATAGTTATCATATGACCCAGCAATTCCACTTCTCGGTGTACACAGAAAAGAAATGAAAACACAGGTCTGCATAAAAACTTGCACACACATGTTCACAGCACCATTATTCACAACAGCCAAACAATGGAAACAACCCAAATGTCCATCAACTGGTGAATGGATCAACAGAATGTGGTCTATCCACACAATGGAATATTATTCAGCCATAAAAAGGAATATTCATGCTACAACATGGAGGAACGTTAAAAACATTCTGCTGCATGAAAGAAGTCAGTTACAACAGGCCATATGTTATATGACTGCAATTACATGATATGGCAAGAACAGTAAAATCCACACAGACAGAAAGTAGATTAGTAGCTACCAGGAGCTGAGGGGAGGGAGATCTAGAGAGAGTGACAACTAATGTGTATGGGGTTTCTTTTCGGGGTGATGAAAATGTTTTGGAATTAGATAGTGGAGTTGCACTGCTTTGTGACTATACAAAAAAATACTGAATTGTTAACTTACAAAGGGTGAATTTTATGGTAAATAATATCTCTATTTTTAAAAATCCTCAGGATTCCACTATATCACATCAGCTATCCAATACAAATAAAATAGTCCAACAGACCCAGCAAAGACACCTTGCAGGAAGACATCTTTGCATGCTCCAACACCATCCTCAAAGCTACCATTAATAATAGTAGGTAACGCTGACCAGCTACTCTGTACCTTACATGCATCACTTTACTTAATCTTAACCACCACTGCAAGGTTAAGTATAATTCTTATCTCTATTTCACAGCTGAGAAGCAGAGATTAAGGAAGTTGTCCAAGGTCAGTCACATAGCTAGCTGTCTACGGAGCCAGGCACTGAACTCAGGTGTAGTTCCAGTGCTGGAGCTCTTAACCACCTCAGAGGGCAAAGACACATTCTGAAACATTACATGGCCTTTATAACAAGCTGATTATCTTAAATCTGCTTTTGAAATCCTCTTTCTTGATGCACTGAGTTTCTCACACTTGCTGAGTCAAGAAAAGCATGACAGAGAGCCTGTGTCATAAAGCACACAGTCATGCCATGTCGTATTAGGAAACTGGAGACTTTCACCCACCAAAGGATGGGATTTTAACTACTTCACTTCCAATTATTTTATATGCCTCACCACACAGTTTTGCTATCTTTTAATTAGTCCCAAACTTATAGTCAGAATCAAGCCCAGTTTTATTTATTCTTCTTTTTTCAAGCCCAGTTTTAAACAACATACATGTATTTTCAGTAAGACCTAGTCAGCCATAGACTTGACTTAAAAGAAATTCGACACTAAGGACTATGGAAAGGGGATAGCACTGGCCATTGCTATTCATACATTCCCCCTTTCTGGGAGATCCAAATAGTTTGAGGATCCTTGAGCAAAGTGGAAATTTTGTCGCATTCATTATACCTCATAATCATATGGGGTCCCAGAGTTGCCATGAGTTCCACCTAGTTTTCAGAGTAAGAGACAGACTAGGGCCAATCTAGAATAATACTCAGAGCCTCTAAAAAGAGGTACCGAGTCCGGAAAAAATACCAAGAATCGACTGACCATCAATTTGCCATACATGGCGTTAAGTGCTTTGCATGTACCTGCTCATTTACTATTTTAACCTCTCCATCATAAATTGGTTATTCTCATTTTATGGAGGAAAAGGCTTCAGAAACTAAGCAAGTTGGCCCGAGAGCAAACGGCTTGTAAACTGGTCGAGATGGGATTCAAACTCGGATCTCCCCTGCATTTTCTACTACACCTGCCTGTTTCATGGTCAGACACCCACGAAGGCTTCTGAAAGAACTGTGCTGACCTCGGGAAATTTGTAATATTCAAAGTATACCAAAATCTAAAGGGCAGGCTGTGTCCGAGTTTGAATCAGTTTGAGCCAAACAGTCAATATACTTGCTGGTCCTGGCTCCTGTCAATATTAAAAAGCTGTTACACTTCTCTCTGGGATTATCAACACCTCAAATATTCATGTTCCCCACAATTTTTGTTGTTTAACTCAAACAGCATATGATAATAATTGAATAACTAAAACATTTTAATACATTTCACTTAAACATATAAAATAGATTTGAAGGATTAAATCCCTACACTAAAATGAAAATTATCGTCACACAAGAAAATTGAAAAATATGCTGAAACCAGAAGCTCCCTGATAACAGGATGTTTTGCATCTACTGATTACCTCTCTGTAGGACTATCTATGTGAAAAATGTGCTCATCTTCATTCTGTAACCGTTCTTTTCTCCTTCTTTCAATGTCATGTCGTAGGTCATTTGGATCTATTACTTTGACCAGAGTCTGAGGAATTTTGACAGAAGACAAACCATTCACATTACTGTTAGTTGCACAAAGACCATATCCAATAAGAATCTTAAGTAAAGTCCTACATAAGTTATCTTGTATTCATCCTGCTAATGACAGTGTAAACTGATAAAAATATTTTGAGACACAATTGACAATACCGAGTCAGAAAAGTTTTTAACATTGAACCAGGAATCCCACTTCTGGGACTCTATCCCAAAGGCTAGCTACCCAAATAGATCCAAAGTTATATTTAAAATAAATTAAAAAATAGAAGCAACTTAAATACAAAAAAATGTAAAGGGGAAGGGAAGAATGATTTTATGGTAAATTTAAGTCAAAGAAATAATATATAAGCATTGAAAGCATATAGACTATATGGAAGTAAAACATGGAAAAACACTTATTAAAACTTAAAAATGCCTCAATCATAAAAGGTCACGGGGAGTTCAGAGATTTTACATAAAAGGAGTGTTATTATGGTTTAAGTAAAAAGAAAAAAAGCATCCAAAACTGCCTATGCTATGATAGCGACTATGTTAAAATGCCACACAAAAAAGACTGCAAGAAAAGACAAACAATATTTTGTGTTAAGTGGTTGAATTAGAGGTGTTTTAACCTTTGACTTCTAAAAAGCCTCAAATTTCCTGTAAGCTGATTACAGTACTTTGATGAGAGGAATTTTCTGAAAATATCATTTATTCAATAAACTAACCTATTTCCATAAGTTCAATAAAAATTGTAACCATTTACAAGTAAAAAAATTATTCATGTTTTACCAGAAATGTATTAAAATCTTTCCTCTACAAAAACTCTTTACTCTCAATGAATAAATTAGCAGCTCTTTTAGAACTTGTTATCCTGCTCCTAAAATAGGAGCCAGTTTTCTTCCCGGCGGGCTAGTCAAGATAGTTTTTCTAATTAGCAAGGAAATGGGTGGAGGGCGGGGTTGGGGCAGTGTTGAGTGGGAGCCACCACACACAACACGTGACAATAAAACAATTCAGTATTATTTTCATTATTTTGCGAGTTCATATTTCACAGAAACGTCACACATTCTACAATAAATAGAAAGGCAATATCAAATGAAATCAAGTTATTTTGCATTCATGCCACATACAATTTAAAAATATATTCCACATCACTGATTTGGAAAAAAACAGGTATCAAACATACTTTCTGCAAGCTTTGCAGTGTGAAGTTTTGGAATGAATATTAAATACTATATTTTTATGTCAATTTTACAAAGCTGTTGCCCTTAGGGACTGTGTCTCTTAGGGAATATTTTTGTCTTGTCAGTGTTCTCTGGGTGTCCTGGCTAATAAATCAAATCACTGGGAGACTTTTGTATATTTCAGATTCCTGGGTCTCAATCCTTCTTCCTCATCTACTTTAACTCCCTTTTTTATTCCCAATCACCAGTTCCCTTTCCCATTAGGATACCCACAATAAGATAATCTCATCAAAAAATTGTCTTCGCTTACCTCTTCTGAATCATATACTATAGTTTGTTGACTCTGAAGCACGCCCAAAGACATATCTATTCTCCTAAAATAATAAAGGCATATTACAATGAAATAATTACGTTATACAGGGATATCTTGATTCCATTACTACAGAATAGAATTTGAAATAAAGCTGGTGTGTCCTGGAGGAAGGAAAAGAAACTTGCCCCAGGTGATTTTTTTGTCTACGTGGCAGTCTCCCAAGGCATACATATCCTGTGAAAAACATCACAGTGATGCTTTAATGGTTCTCAAATCACTAGTCTGTGTAACCTTAAACTTTGCTCCGTGGATCTACTGCACTCTAACATTGATTCAATTCAGCTCACAAGACAGGGCGCACCGCCTGCTCAGGCAGGTGCCAGTGGCAGAAGACATGTTTTCATCTGGCTGTCCTCAGAACAGCCATTTCTGACTACATGAAGCAACCCATGACTTCAATGGCTCGACAACTGTTTCTCATTCTCCCAGTTGTAAGTTCAGTAGGCAGAATCAAAGTTAGGTAGGTAAATATTTTCAAAGTCCTACACATTTGAACAATGCTAGTCAATGGCTTCAGTGCCACCTATTCCATCCAAGTGCACAGGCCCTGTACCTGCGTGGGCTTTGAGAGAGGTTTTTAGAGAGGAGATGCAGGCCTAGAGTGGACAGCAAGCCCAGCCTTCCCACATCTGTTCTGAGTCTTATTCCCATGAGTTAAATGGGCACACAATAGTTAATCATTACCTGGGAATTTCTGGGTCTGGATTCGGTTTAATTTCATTTACAGCTGCTGCTTTTGTATCTTGTATATTTGAGAAACGCTCATGTAGAGTAATGTCGGGTGATGGAAAATAATTTGCTGAAAAAAGAAACAAATAGTTTTATCCCAGTGTAAAACAGATTCCACTTAAAAGATTATATATGCGTATAAGCACAGGAAGAAAGGATTATTAAAAAACATCCAACCCGTTTTCTCTTGAAAATATGTGGGACCTAAACTTATTCCACAGACTAATTTGTAATGATCACATACTTTCCGAAGCCCAAGCAATAGTAAAACACCTGACTTATGAACCCCAGGATTTCCGTTCCTATTAGACTTATAGGAGAAAAAGACAGTGGCTCTCTCAAAATGAGGACCTTTCTTCTTCAAGATAAGACCTATTGTATCTGGGAAGTAAAGATAGTAAAGAGCCCTACAATTCACCTAGAGTAAAAAAAAAAAAAACAAAAAACCTCCAAAAACAACCCTGAGCCATTAAAATGCCATTTTCCTCTAACATTAACTGCAGTTCATGAAAACATTCTGAAACCAGCTATGCTACAGGCTTCAATCAGGATAGAAAGATAATACACTTGACCATCAGAATGCTACTTAAGCAATCTTTTCCCCTAACTTGCTTTTCCTGTTCTGAAACAATCTAGGTTTTTCTGCAATACCAGCTCCCTTTCTGCCAAGAATCACACCTCCTTTGGGTAAGGGGCTGGAACTGCAAAGGTAAACTGTTTCAGACAAACTGCGTGCTTTAAAGTAAATATGTGCCTTAGTTTGAGGGATGCAGGGAAAAAAATTCACTTTTAAAATCTGTTTTATGAGGTAAAAAAGATTAATGCAATTATCTAGTAAGAAATATAAAATAAAAAATTTGAAATTCTCAAAGGTCTCCAGTTTATAATACCCACAGTTACCTTATTTACGCAGCATCAGTGAGGAAAGTTGTTTCATATGACTGAATTTTTCAATTAACACAAATTGGCCAGAGCAAAAATAAAACAACTCGATGCAATTCTTTGAAGTGTTTATTATGCAATTCCCTGATGTTATAAAACAGCGGTTCTCAACCTGTGGGTCGCGACCCCTTTGGGGGTCGAAAGACCCTTTCACAGGGGTCGCCTAAGACCATCGGAAAACAAAAAGATACTTACGATTCATAACAGTACCAAATTACAGTTACAGAGTAGCAACGAAAATATTTTATGGTTGGGGGTCACCACAACATGAGGAACTGTATTAAGGGGTCGCGGCATTAGGAAGGTTGAGAACCGCTGTAAGTATGCCAAATCAAACTGCAATCTTTTATTGATCGCTTAGGATAACCCTTGTGGCACAAAGTCACCTTAATGCCCTCAGGGGCTTTAAGTATCACCAAATGACCTAGACTCCCACATTTCTTGCGTTTTTGCTGCTTCCTCCTTCCTGTTTGGTTATCAGTTATCGTTTCTTGCTGCTCTCAGTACATCTGTCTTTTGCAACAGCCTGCCTCTCCCTTTGTAACTTTGGTTTTTAATCTACTATAAATTGAAGCACAAGGTTATTTGGAACTACACGTAAAGAACAATGAGGCCTAGGTGCCACGACTGTCTTAAGAGTCTACTCTTTAAAATAATGTTAAAAAAGAACAACTAGGCTTGAATTAATACTTGCTCCTCTCTTCAACAGATTTCCTAATTAATGATCTAGCTTATAATGAAATATTAATTACTATTACAATATCACAGATATATACCTATGTCTCGTGAAAAGCCAGTACATTATTTTTGTGTTATCCCTAATGTATGTGCAAAATATACCAACCTTTAACTTGATGAATTATAGTTATGATTTCCTGAGCAAATTCTCCTGTAGGTTTGCTTTCAGTATTCTGAGTTGAGTCAAGATGTTCAAACACTGGATGAAAGTTTTCACTTTTCCTGCCAACAGCAACCAAATCATGTGACATCTGTCTCTCTGTGCTGCTAGAAGCAACCCTAGAATAATTTGTAAATGTTTAACTAAATTTGAAACTATTTTACTGAGAAAAGAACTTATTAAAAATTAATCAAGATAGCTATCAAACTAAAAAGATGTTTATCTTTTATAATTAAGGCACTAAATTGTATGCCATAAAACATGTACAAAAATGAGGAGAAAATAGCTATAGATGCATGGATTTGAGTTCTCTTTTTCAAATCAGAGATCATGAAATATTTGCCACTTTAATAAGATCCTCAAAATCCTAAGTTAAACAATTTTTACTTCAAAAAATACAGCAAGGCATCAAATACACTCTATAGTCAAATAATAATCAAGTAGATTATTTTATACTCCCAAATGTCCATAAAATTGTAAACCCAGCAAGCTTACGATCTTAAAATACTACACTTTAAACGCTGATATCAAACATAATGACTTCTCCGACTTCATAGAAATCCTTATACTTATAATGAGAAGCTTTGAATTGTATTTTGAAATCAAATTCTGTTGAAATTAATTTAATCACTTAGAAAGTCTCACTGAACTCACAAAATAGTCTTTGTTGTTGGCAAAGTTATGGGCTGTAGACCTAATTATCCTGTTTATCCTAAACGTATCCTTAAAGAAATGCTACCATTTGTTATATAACCCCAACTGTCTTACCACTTTAATGCTTTCGGAATCTTTATAATTTTCATTAAGTGTTCTCTTGACCTTTAGGTACCATTATAAAGCCATGATTGACAGAGAGCTAACAATTATTGAAGGCTTACCACATGCCAAACACAGGAACTCTTTAGAGCTTACAGACATTATCTCATTTAATTTTTGCAATAGCCCTAGGGGAGGTGTCATGACACTGAGACAATGAATGTCTTGGTTGTTTTGCTTAATAGCCCAGAAATCAAGCATTCATATGAATATAATCCTTCCAAGTGTCATAATGGGAAACTATACCTTATTCCAAGAATGCTGTTCTTGCTTAAACTGTTCTTCAGTTCTTTGTCTGGAGGTATTTACATGCCACAGAAGAAAATGTCTCATTATTTTATATTTATAGCTCATTTTGGACCCAAAATGGCACTAACCAGCTCACACCCATCCTCTGCACTTAACTCTAAATAGCGTGTGGCTCTTGCCAAAAATCAAGTTCACCATCCAAAGAATTGAGATTTACAACTGCTAGGGTTCTTTATAAGTATGTTACAGAAAAGATACATCCAAAAAAGAAACCTGAAATGTGTTAGAAATAACAGCAGCACCATTGCAAATGATGATACCTCTTCAAATAACAACAACCAATCAGACAGATGCATTTTAGGGCGTGGGTGTACCAAAGCACAGATTTACTGATTTATTTAAGTCACATAAGGCCATATATCCAAAACTGCTCCAGGGTTATGAGGGGCTATAGATAGCCTTTAATTAAAAATTTTAACTCCTCTAACAAGATGGTTTTAAGTGCCAATTTTTAACTTATCAGAGAAAAGAAAGGCTTCCATCTGACTTTCTGTGCTCCCTGCTTTCAAAGCAGCACTGTGGAAACAACGCCCTGCCAAGGCAGAAACAAGGCAAAGTGGTTATGGAGCAGGTTGATGCTACTGCTGTGGATTCCTTCATTCATTATAAAAGCTTTCTTGAGAAGGCCCATTTCCCCTCTTTCCTCCTGATTTGCTCCAAGCTTCCCACTGTGTATCTGATAACTAGCTAACAGACATTTAGTGATAAACACTAGAAGCTAGAATGGCCCTGTAACAAAACCACCACTAACAAAGAACTACAAATGCTCTCTGTTTAAAGGGGTTTAATGGTACAAAAAGCCTGTTCCATATCCAAAAACAAAGATTTTAAAAACATTTTATAGGAGAAAAAGATGTTTAAAAATGTTTAACTAGAACTATAAAAAATGGTCTGGATGGCCCATAAGGGGAAATCAGCTGAAAATGCTTTTTTTTTTATTGCAGCTTCGTTTCTCCCAAGAGGAAACCAGCTGATAAAGGCTTCCGGTTTTTCACCTGGTAATTATTAAAATTTATTTCTAACGGGGCCGGCCGAGTGGCACGATGGTTAAGAACTGGCTTGGGACGCCAGAGGGCCCCGGTTCGGATCCCACATATGCGGGCCAGTGAGACTGATCTGCCTCGCCCGGGAAGAGCGCAATGATGATGC